TTTAGTGACCAACCGCCAAGCATCCCTGCAGTGCCCAACCACCAAGTATCCCTGCAGTGCCAAATCGCAGAGTATCCCTGCAGTGCCCAACCACCAAGTATCCCTGCAGTGCCCAACCACCAAGTATCCTCGCAGCGCCCAACCAATGAGTATCCCTGCAATGCTTAACGGATGTGCCCAACCGCAAAGTATTTCTGCAGTGCCCAACCGCAGAGTATCCTTACACTGCCCAACCGCAAAGTATCCCTGCAGTGCCCAACCAATGAGTATCCCTGCAGTGCCCAACTGCAAAGTATCGCTGCAGTGCCCAACTGCAGAGTATCCCTGCAGTGTCCAACCACCAAACATCCCTGCAGGCCAAGCGCACAGTATCCCTGGAGTGCCCAACAGCAGAGTATCAATATTCCTGCAGCGCATTTGCAGTGCTGCAAGGAAGACAATTGGGGGGGGGGCAGGGAAACGTTACACTTCTTGTGCAATAATGGCTTTAGGGTGGGGATGCTCGAAGTAAATAATTCTCCTTTTTTTCGTGATATATTATTGGACAACTGTTTTGATTGAAGGGTCCAAATTCAGCCGAGGCTGGGGTCGCAGGCCAAAGTGAGCAACCGCTGGGCGGATTTCCCTACATATGTGCGGTGCCTCCGAGACCATCCAGAATGTTTGTTCTTTGAGGGGAGGCGGGGCTTCCCTGTCGTCAGAATCCCAGCGGCCAAGTCAAGCCTGCAGCCGCATGCTCATCCACACGCACAGTGGCATCAGGGCCTCTGCTTGACACATTTGTTGCGGTTGTACTTCGATACATGGACTTGCACTGTTGCGATCAGCTTTGTCTTTCGTAGAAAGCGAGGCTGCGCAGCAAGATCTTGGCCTCTTTTCAGAGGGTTATGGAATTACACTGGCATCAATATATATATATATAATATATATATATTTTTCGGCCCTTAGCCTGAGCTCCATCCAAGGTATGTGAGTGAGATCTTCAATTATACGGACGCGTACCAGACCTTGCCGGACTTCTTCCAGCATGGCAAACGCATGCCCAACAGCGTGCAGGAATGCCGCCGTGTTGCTTAAATCAAGTCTTTTCATTTCACCAGAACGCCAAGCGGCAAACCTTGCAGGGTTCCAGATGTAAACTTGAAGAAGCCTGGTGTAACTGTAAACTTGATCCTCAGGAGTTCGAGCAAAACGATCTCCTCCACACTCGTGCCGTTGCGGAGTGGCTCGCCTCAGCGCAGCCCAGGCCCCTCAAAGCCAAAGATTTCTTGCAGATCCAGGCCAGGACAACACAGATCGGCACTTCTCAAGGTTTGCGAAAGTCACTGTTCCCGACAGTGAAAACAGGAGTTCAGAACTGGGATGAAGCGATTTTGCGTACGATGCTGCATCTGGCAAAGCGGAAGTTGAGTGTCTTTTTGAAGATTTGTGGAGTGCAGTGTTTGTAGCCTCAGAGATAAAGATCTGCATGTCCTCCTGAGAAATCCCATGAGCAAGCCTGAAGTCCTACAAGTGAATCCTAGAAGAGGATTGTTAAGGCTCTACCTCAAACGTAGTGGTGAGACTTGGCGTCAGGTCGAGCAATTGAACTCGGGTATGGTGGAGTTGGCGAGACAGCTCTGCGAGACGCTAGGATACTGCCGGCCGCTTCCGATCATTCCCAAGGTCTGGCAGGTATCAATGAAGCAATCAATCTATGACTCATCGGCCCTTTTTGATACGTTCCCTGAATTTTGAGATTCGTGCTAGCCATGATTAGCTGACTTATGTACAGCACGGCAAATGCTGTTCGTGCGCTTAAGTACCATCTTTGAGAAGGACTTCAAAGATGGCCATGTGCTCTCTGCCCGAAGGTCAACTCCTTCTCCAAGCCCATCTCGCCAAGGCGGGCAGCTAGCTCCGGAAGGGTCACCGTGGTTACAGGGCAGCGGAGAATGCAGTACTACCGCTGTCGTTTGGATATTCACTAAAAGCTGTTCAAGAAATCTGCGGAGCAGATATCAGCGACACACTTTCCTTCATCCAATACACCAGAACGCCAGGCAGTTGTTAACTTCCATCTCTTGAGTTCTGATCGCAAAGCCGCTGCATTAGCCTCGCGGCCTCTTTCAGGCCTCCCTTCAAGTAGTCCATGCTTTAATACTTGAAGCTGCCTTGCGAGGCTGCTGGGCTAGTGGGGGCATCTGCATTTGCATTCTCCTTGGCAGCCAGCGCAGTGCACCACTTTCTGACCAAACCGCTCATTTGCCATTGCCGTGATGTTGATCTCAATCCGGCCTTGCAGCGTGAGAACGCCAGGGCAGTCCTCCGCAGGCTGCCTTCTGGCTCAGGGGATGCCTCCCCGTTTGCAGAGCCGTGACTCTCCACACTCCTTACACACCCCTTCTGGCCGTGGCCCTCCTCCCGGCTCCCTGCAGCCCCCCATGTGCAGACTGCCTTTCTCTTTTGCTTCGGTCGCTCCGAACGCACTGTGAGTAGCGTGCAGTTCCAAGGTAAGGAGACGCTGGATGCTTCCTGAGTCCCTCCCTTGAAGAGCATAGCCGCAGTTCCCGTTTGCCACTGGATGTCAGCTTAGGGTAGTGTAGACTCCTTTTTGTAGCTGTAGCACTCTAGCACTTCTGAACCGGTACGTAGTTGAGAAGCGTCTTGAAAGACAAAACAGAAGATGCCACCAGCAGCCTGCGAATGGCAGATGAGTTTTTCCAACATGTGCTGATCTCTGAAGAACAAGCGGGCTTCGTGCAGGGGCACGGATGGCCTGTAGACCACGAGTTGACGTACAAAGGTTGCGTGGCTCCAGTCAGTTGGCTCCCCCTGCAAGGTGAGTAACTGTCTATGTCTCGAACCGAACCTAGAACTTCAATGCTGATGGAACCATGAAATGGCAGTGGAGCTGAGAGACTCTCTGCCACCTCCCCGCGATGCTTTTGCCAGAGCCAAGGGCAGTCCCAGCCAGCTGAAGAGTCAACGCCTTGCTGAACTCTGCATTCCAGACCATTTTCCAAATAACGCATGAGCGAGCCATGCCAGACATCATGTCCGCCAGGCAAACTAGGACAAGGTCAAAAATGGTTCTATGCCCTCGCTAAGACCTGCAACACCTGTGAGAATTCATCGTCCAAATGGTCACGCGCATTGGCTGTGGCACCAAGGGGTCTTTTGGCATAGAAGTCCTCTGCAAATGTGACAAAAAGTGACCGTCCATACGGCAGTTGCGATGTGCCTCGCTTGAGCCCTCTGAGCTCGCAGTTGCCAAGGGCCTGCTAAGATCAGCAGGCTGATAATCAGCTCCTCCAACGATCGCCTTTGAATAGGAGTGAAGGCCGTGGCTTCCCCCATGCAACAGTGTCGGCATACATACGATAGTCTGCAGTCAGAAGTTGATGAGCTCTTGCAGTTGTTGACCTCCAATCAAGTTGCGTTCGCGTACGCAAGTGCAAGACGAAGTACCAAGCAGTTGGTTTGGCTGTTTGGCTGGAATGAAGAGACGCATGTGTCCTTTAATCTAATTTTAGGTACCTCGATGCGCTTCGTTCCCACATAATGGGATGCAGTTCTCCTGGCATCCTGAGCAACTGTGAGACCACCTCGGAAACTTCATCTTCCCAACCACCTTCGCCGTAACTTACGAACAGCACGCCACCACCCTGAATGCGCTCACACCGCCGGGGAATGACCGTAGCAAGTGGTGTGGAGTCAACTCTGCGATGCCTGGAAATGCAACGCACGTGAAGAATTTTGCAGGGCTCCGACATCTGGCTGAAAATGTCGGGGTGCTGCAGAACTTGTCTATGTGCAGCAATTTGTTCGTAGATTTTTCGTCCGTTTGTAGTTAAGCGTCTGATTCTCCTATGAAGCAGAAGGCAGAAGAGTTTACGGCTTTCTGCTCGCAGGATCTGGGCGGGCTGCTGGCGCGGTGGTGTGGCGCTCCAGGCTTCTGACTCCTTGGGGCATGGCTGTGATGTCTCTCTTGTAAATCGATGAGGAGGTTGTCAAACAAGGATTCTGTAGAGGCAACTTTGTGAAACTTCCATGGTCCTTTGTTGACTCATGCCTAGATTCCTGGAGCTTCCGGCAATTTTGTGGTTGCAGCCATTGGCATCTGTGATTCATGCTTGTCAAGTCGGATATCACGAAAGCTAGCGGAGCTAGGCTTGAGTTTAGTCTTGCTTTAGCAGTAGTGGCTGTCAAGGTCTGGAAAACGACGGATCGTGTGATGTTTCACAGGATTTTGGGAGGGGGGGGTCGCCTGTGATTCTTTCACAGCAAAGCGTACTTTTGGAGGGGGGGGAAGGGGGGGGGTCGACTGTGATTCTTTCACAGGAATCGAGGTTTGGAGGGGGGGCGGAGGGGGGGTGGGGGTCCAATGTGATTCTTTCTGCGAGGTTGGTAAATGTATAGTAACATCATGCCTGGTAGTTGCATCAAATGTGTTTTTCTCAATGCGTTGTTGCCCTGACATGCTCATGGTACGAATTATGAAATTAACAACTGTATAACAATCCTTTTCACTTACTTCTTTGATATTTTCTTTCCCTTCAATATCTCAAGTTGCAACTAAAGCGCGACATGTTCCAGTCCTGTAAATGTCGCTGTTCCTGTTGATGTTGGAGAATCGTAAACATCAGAACCAAATGTCATGCCTAACTTCTTAGGATTATGAATTGACATTAATATCTGTCTGTTGCTGTCTGGATTATTCATTTTAACTCTTTGACTTGCTGATACATCCGAATGCGTAATGTCTACATGTCCTAATAAATTGGCCTGTCCGTCTGTTACTTTGATCTCTGGTGCTGACAATTGTAATTCCATAGCAATATTCATGTCTCCTAACGCCTCCCTGTTTCTGATGAATAACTTTTACTGTGTGTCCAATACCTCTTTAAATGCACAGTTGTTCTGGAATATAACTCGTCCCAACTAGTTACATCCGCTTTTCCAACAATATTACCAATACTATTAAATGTTTGATTATTTGTAACTGCTATATTATTTGTCAATTCTGAGAGTGTCGTTTAGTTGTAATGCAATTGTTCCTGTGGTGACGTCGGATGTGCCATTTGTCTGTATATTTCCTCTGTTGGTATTGCATTTTAATTGTTATTAGCGTCCGCTCTTTGGTATAATCTTTCGTTCATGCTTAATGCTTGATCTCTCACTGATGTTAGGTTCTAGTTATATCGCACGTTAATCGCTTTCCAGACCTTGAAGGCTACCACTGCTAAAGCCCGACTAAACTCAAGCCTGGCTCGCTTGATTTGTGCTGCTATGGTTGCTGTTGTAGGGTCTGCTTCTTTATTTGATTGAAGACTGAAATTGATTTCATGAGAAGTAATGATATTGAAGGATTTACTAGCGTGTGTCCGTATCTACATGATATGCTCCTGTCGGCGTCCAAAAATAAGTTCATGGCTTAAATACAGGTGCTTGCGGCTTGCGCTGTCCCACCTACAAAGGGTTCAGAAATATGACACATTGGTTCCTACTTTCCGCCTGTTGATGTGTCTTGGATTTCCAAAAGTGTTTGTGCTTCTCCGAGCACTACATGAGTGGCAAGGTCCCAATAAAACAAGAAGTTGCTTGTTTCAAGACCAGGCAAAAGTATCGAACACAACAGAAGGAGGGAAAGGTGCAATGCAACAACCCCGCCTGATGATGCTTGCCGGGTAGTGATCACTACAGAGGGGCCAGGGAGGTTTGACGCAAAGACCAGCAAGGCTTATGTGCATCATGATTTTGCAAGGGTTGTGAACACTGAAGGGAGCAAAACCTGTACACCCACGAGCATCATGTTATCCGTATTGTGAACTTAATGGGGTATGCTAAACCTGCCCATGCATGAGCATCGTATGAAAGGCATTAAGCTCGATGATTGTACTGAAGCTCCCTACTCCGTCTTTGACAGTGCATGCCCTTGAACAGTCATGGTACCAAGTACGTCGTGCCTGGTAGTTGCATGTCGCCTTCTCCTCTTTTGGTGTTTGTTTCCTGCGTGCTCTTTGCACGAGTACCATTTTGCTTTGTGGTTGCATCCAATCTTGTTTGTCTTTACGACCCCTTTTTTGGCCAGAGCGCGGGTAAGTTCACGCTTCGTCATTGAATCACACCTCTCTTCCCCTTTGATAGTGTCCCTGACGTTGTGTGGTCATGCTACAAGTAACATCTTGCTTAGTTGTTCCAGGCAACCTTCCTATTGCTGAGTGCTCTGCGGCAGGGCTCCTCTTTTCAATGTTGCGATCAGGGAATCCATGGCCGAGCTAACTCATTGCGCACGTGTCCGCATGTTCGCAAGCGTTTCCAAGCATTTGCGCCGGCACCATCCTCGTATAAGTGTTGCCGCTTTTGGACCGTCGTTGCTGCGTCGCGTGTCAAAGGTGCAAAAAGTCACGGGGCATGTGCTGGGCGGGGCGGGGAAGCGTTGCTGCTTCGTGGCATGTGAAAAGTTAATGAGCGCCAACAGTCACAGGGATGCTGCACCTTGGGGTAGCCATCTTGGTAACTTCATCTGCTTTTGGAGAGTCATGTCCTTGTTGCCGTGGAGCCATCATGGCGACTGTCGCCACTTTTGGAGCCTCGTGTCTTCACCTCATGTAAGACATGCCCACTGTCGCAGGCAAGGGCGCCCTCAGTTTGCCGTGCTCGTACCTGGTCGTGTCTTCGTCGCATGCGACCCTGTGGTCGGGATGGGGCAGTGAGACTCGCCATCCTCGTGCCTGTCCTGACGCTTGGACGCCGGCAGAGAATGCTGGGACCACTACTTGCGCAATTGCGTAATGCAGTGGAGTGGAAGAGACAGGTGTGAGGGGTGTAGTGATCTCTGGAGTCAAACGTGGAGCAAAGACTGGTAGAATGGGGAAAGTGGGGAGGAGAAGGCTTGAAAGAAAAGTGGAGTGCACAGAGAAGTGGACACTGGAGTCGAGTTGGCGAGGTCCTGTTAGGATTTTCCAAGCCCCTTGACGAGGTATGTGCGTTTTCTTGCATGTACTTTCCCTCCTCCTCTTCTACCCTACTCCATGCTACAAAAAGCCTGTCTAGCTTTCATTGGCCTCGGCTCGCCCCTCAAGTTTGGTAGAAGAAGGACTAAGCAATTTCATGTGCCGAGTGCAGGCCGTTCACCGCTACAAGCTTGACTTCCAGGATTTGGGATGGAAGCATGTGCATTGTTGAGAATATGCAAATGCGGCAAGAACCACCAGATAGGAGACAGGTTACTGTCTTTATGGTACACCGGGCCGGCCTGGCCGCCGCCTCCCTTGCCCACCCAGCTCTTGTTACATGGTTCTTTGTGCAGGCTGACCATGTTCGAGCCCACAATTGAATTTCACTGGTATTTACAGCCACAAACACTGCCCACAGCGTGTATTTTGAGCGTTTTGTTGGGGTTTATAGCGCATTTTAGGCGCCCT